TCTGTTGGACCATGCCATTCAGAAGTGTTTATCATCCAGAAGGCAGGAATAATTGTCTTGGGTTAAGGTACCAGGCTAGAAACTGGGAGACTGTGAGTCAAAGGCACAAATTTCCTTTTTGTTTATTGTAAGGAAATGAGACTATCCCCACTAGTACAATGTGTAGTGAATTATTTTGGATATTATACTGATTTTCTTCTATCAGTGTAATGGAGAACTTCAGTTATAGGGCATGAGTTGAGATTCCTACTACACATTTTTCTTTTACCTTTACATTTGAATATTAAACTCCCAGGAGATTGATAAATCTGGCGGCCAGGAATCTTGCTATGTAGTGTGTCTGTGTGCTGGAGAGATCAAAATGTAGGGATATACATGCACATGTAATCACAAATAAGGAGTAGGGGAGCAAAGAGGCTCTTTGCCTGACCAAAAACAAGAAATTGAAATGAAAGAAGCATCCAGAGGCACAACAGTTCAGAGAAATCTCTGGCTTAGGCTTTTCCTCTTTGTATTTCCAAGTATCTCTTCTGATCACTCAGGCAGTCTTTTTTATTTTGGGGGGGCAGTTATTTAATGTATCACTCTTTTATTTTCCTGACAGACTGTCAGTCTCCTTCAGTAATCTGGATGATCTCTAGTTGGCAGCATCTATGAAATAACTTCATAAGATTAGCACTCAGGAAATAATAACAAAACATGGCTAAACAAATAAATCATAAAAATTAAGCTTGAATCTCAAACCCTGCCACACATTCAGAAAAGCAACTGGGGTTTGGCTTTCTTGCCAGTAGGTGATGCTGGAGAGGAGGAGAAAGGACAGCAGGGAATCCACAACCCTTCCCTGAAACTAGCTGCATTAATTTGTGCAACTTTGCCACATGACACTGCCAGGCCTCACTGCTGAGGCATGGTAAAGGCAGGCTGTGAGGGAAGCACAATTAATGTTAATGTGCTTTCCTCCTGACTCAGTGTTTTGAAATCTTTTTGATTTGAACATTAGAAAATGTAGAATAGGGATAGTCGTTGTCACCAGAGATGTAAAGTGATCTCTTCCACAGGAGGTTGAAATTAGCTCAAGAGCCATAGGTTGCCTGATAGTATATGGTCAGGTAATACTGAGTGGGGCTCACACAATTTGCCCTACCCATGTACTGTAAGTAGACTTGGCACAAACCTTCCACTGAACCTTAAGCATTTTTTAAGACAGCTATATCACTGTCATATTTTATGGGTGGCATTACAGCGGGAAAGGAAAGGGAAAGCCTTCCTTTAGTACCATGTAAGAATCTGGTCACAGCTTTTTTCAGAGTAGGTTTATATGTATCACTTATTTTGTCCCTCTATGGTCCTAGCCCTACAAAGGGACTTTTGAACAAGACTGCTTAAAAGAGCAACTACTGTAGTAAAATCATTAGAATATTTACTGAAATTCATGTTCATATCCTGGATAAATCAGAACTTCATGCCAAAACTTATTTTATTCCTATCCATTTAAGTTACTTTAGAAATAAACAAAGAAATGCCTATGTAAAATTTTCTCATAATAAAAATTACTTTAAAATAGAAATAAACAAAGAAACAAACATATAAATATATGCATGTATATGTATGTTTGTATGCCTTGACATACTTCCAAGAAACACTTTGCCTCAGCACTGGACAAATTTCTAATGAACTGAAAGTGCTAAACCATAGTGCACAGATAGTAGTTAATACACTAGCTTTTTGACAACAATGGCAATATTTTCATTATGTTTAGTGACTTCTTGATCGCCTCTGACAAAGATAATTTTTAAGAGTTAAGGCATCTTAACTTAAATCCAACACCTTAGATTTTTTGAACTCGGAAAGAAGCCATTAGAAATTAATTCTATAAAGAATTATATTGTTATATGTGCCTCATTTCTCCAAAAATAGGAATTTCCTGGGTTCAAAGGGTATAAAGTCTTAAGCCTCCTCTTACTTTTACATAGTGGTTCTGAACCAGAGAAGCCCAGAACATGCTTATTTTACTAAAGATTGTAATAGTGGATTTCTGCACTGAGGTAGGAGTCATACCAGATGAATTCCAAGATCCACTCCAATTCTTACATTTCATGACTTTACACACTGTTTTTAGAGTCTTTGGAACAGACCTTTGTAAGTATTTAAAAGATAATTTAAAAAACAAAAAATCTGCAGCAAAGGATAAGATCACCAGACAAATGCACATAATGAGTTTCACCTCTCAGCTAGATAATTAAAGAATTAAGATTGGTTGAAATTTTCCCTCTCCCAATAAAACTGCATGAAATAGGCATGCCAGCTTTGAATATGAGTATACCTTGGATAAATCCTAGGATGTATTTTACAAACAAAATATTCTTGAAGAATATATATGATGGGTTATATATTCTAGAGAATCACAAAACTTTGTAACCCTCTGTAATAATTCTAGGCATTTAGAATAACTCAATCCTCTTTTGGATAATTCAGTGTGATATAACAATGGGATATCTCTGTGTAGACTTCTATCTGAACTGCTTGATTTTAGTACATTTCTTTTTCTTTAGAAGAGTTTATAGGACCTTGGTCCTTCACAAGCTTTCTTTAGATTGTATGGAATAAATGTATGATACAGCAATTCAGTACTAAACATATGCATTCTACAATTCATATGATTGATTCATCACTCTAAACAGAATTAGAAATATATATTTATTTATATTGTTCTTTTTGAAATAATACTCTGCCAAAGGCATCTTGATAAATTCTGAAACTTACACAAATCTCATTTTGTGAAAATTTCTTCTCAGAAATGACAACTAAAATTATTTCATATGGTTCAGTTATGTATTGTATTTATAAATCTGATATTCTGACACTAAATATTTTTGTTTTAGTGGAATTTTTTAACCTAGTACCCTCAGTTTTTCCTGTAACTTCAGGTTACCTTTTCATAGTCTTTCTAGTCCTTCACATGATGAAAATGTACTTTGGGAAAGATAAAAACATATAACAACACTGTACAAGGTTTACACATTCTTAATCTTAGTTTCAAAATGCACTTGTTCACATAATTTTTATGAAGAAACCTTCAATTCCATGAGCATACTACTTATTCATGAAACACTATGGATTTAAATTTTTCAGTTGTAGAAATAAGGCACAACTTCTGAGCTATGATAAAGCCCAAGACCATTTTTGGTATATAACCTACATTTACATTGGAACCTCTTTGATGCTTTTTATATTTGATTTTCAAATGCCTTAATTCAAGTTACTAGAAAAAGTCTAGCGTAGCTGAGGTACATCAACTACACAACTTCTGGTAGCTCAAAAAGTGTAGGTGGTTGAAAAATATTATTATACACTGCCCTGTAAGTTTTATGGAACAGAGATCTTCAAAATAAGTCTTGCATGGCCTATGATTTTCCTTGTTTTAGAGTTCTATCAGTCAGCCATACTTGGCCTTCTAACCCATTAATGTGCCAATTGTAGAACATGTCTTTAAATTTCAGAAGTAATATCAGTGGTGCTGCTCCAGGACCTTTATTTCACTTGGATTTCTTTTCTTGCAACTAGTCATATGCTACAATGAAAAGACTGACCTTTTCCCTCTCTTAAGCATGCATTATAGTACACGTCCAATAATGCCTTAAGGAGACAATAAGCTTGCTTTTTAAAATAAGATTAGCTAATGCAAAAGGCTTTGGATGGGTGCAAAGGCAACTGAAACGTTTCAAATTAGAGGATTCAGGAAGGAAATGAGCCACCACTAGTACGACCTTTCATTAGTGGAAGGAATTTATGTATATACCTGTGTGGCTTTCATCCTCTCCCTCTTATCCATGTATAGATTAGCTTCATACAGTGTACTAAACCATAGCTACTGAACCATGGTTTTCCACTTTTTTTTATCAATGTAACAGGCCAAGCCAAAAAGCCTATCTTAAACACCCCAATGGTTATTAACATAGCATACTAAATCAATGCCCAAGCACTTAACAGTTTAGCAATATTCAGCTCAACTGTACAGGTGATACATTGCTGCAAAGTTGTGGCTTTTGTTAAGGGGCATAGGGTTGTTTAATCTCCTCCACAAGGTCATTGCTATGATCTTGGAAGAAATCTGACATCAGATTACCCTTCCTCGTTTCCTGCCAGCAGCTAGTACTTTTTAACTATAATTTTAATGCATTTTCTAAAAGAGGGAAATTGTGCAAACTCCTTGTGTATACAGCTTTTCTGCATTTGAAAATATGCAATAACAATATGATGCAGTGAGCACTTTGAGAACAAAGAAGTTAAAAGAATATGGAATGAGCTCCCTTCACCTTCTGTTTAAAAGTTTCCCCTCTCTGAAAGCCATTGCAGTTAGAACAATGCAGTCCTATGAATCATTGACTCCTTTTCATTACATAGTGCTCTTCAGATAATTCAAACTGAGTATCCTGTTCAGCAATACCAAGTAGTGTACTTGTTCAGCAAATCTAATAAACCAAACAATCTCTAATTCCAGTATTACTGCGCCAGAAGGTATTGTTGCTTGATATACATAGGACCTTCATATTATTATACCCAGACTAAACATTTTTAAAGAAAGCAAATATGAAGTTTACGTAGAGGTACTTGTGCTTAATTGGTTTCAGTCCTATTAACTTCAGTGACAGTATCGCAGTTTTTTTTTTTAGTTTTTTTTTTTTTAATCTGCGCTCAGTCGTTACCGACTCTGCAGTGACTGCCTGGACAAGTCCTTGCAGTTTTCA